TTTCATAACATCAAAACACAGCGTCAACAACATCGATGCAACCGCTTTGAAACGGGCAATAACGGGGGGGGGGGGGTGTCAAAGCGAGGTAATCCACCGTACTACAGGTCATGAAGGGCCAGTCAGCAGTGAAGTAGATTGTTATGTGGCTTTCTTTTGGGCCAGAGATTCCCTCGACACACCCTCGTGTGATAGTGATAAAAACAGTCAAGCCAAGGTCATCAGCGTCAACTTTGTACACAGACCTACGTTGTTGCTGCGAAAAAGATAAATAAATCCACACGCTCTGGTTGTGTCTTAAGAGAATACCACTAGCTTTAACACTGTAAGTAGTATAATTTAATCTTTCTTGTTGTATAATCTGTTGTCACAACGTCTAGCACGACAGCTAAAATGAGTCACGTGTCCACACTCACTGTGCTTTGTTTTGGTTTTGTCAACGAATTTTAACTTTGTTAGATAAATTAGTAAATAGATTACTACCACCTTTTAATTAACTTTTTTAAATTTTTTTGTTGATAGATTAATTAGACCCAATTTATCTCAGTCCAACACTCTTATAATTCGTCAATTTACTTTTTTTTGTGTGCAATATTTGTAAATGGCATGTTCTGACATCAGAAGGGGGGTTAAGCTTCACACAAAATATTTCTTATACTTAGTTGTGCTATTTTTAATGATTGCCCCTGCATCGAAACAATACAGTTGTCATAGTGATGTAGTTGTGTAAATTAATTAAGCGATAAACAAGGAGCGGCTGTAAGAAATAATTCTCTTGCGTGTTATGTGCAGTTGAACAAGAGGTGAAGTTTTGTACCAAATGAGTCTGAGTCAGTGGCGTAGCCATAGAGGGTTCGCGCCATCCGAGACGGGCAAAGATATTTTTTGTCGCACACCTTCGGCGGAAAAAAAAAAAAAATCCACAGTTTGCATAAAATGCCACAGCTCACTTCTTAATTAAGCCACTGCTCTCAGTCGAACGTATTTCTGGCGTTGGCTTGAAACCAAGTTTCCAAATATAACCATAAGGTAGAAGTGTCTTTTGAGCGTTGTTGGGAACTGATAGAATTGCTGACTTTGTTCGTCCGTGATTACTTACCAGTTACAGAAAACGATTCCAAAGATATGAAAATACAATCTTTTTTTAAAAAAAAGGCTTAGTTGCATTTGCGTTTTTGATTACAAAAGTGTACCTTATCTGAAAAGATTTAGGGGTCGTGGTTTAATCTTAGCATGTGGCAGCAATTGGTTTTTATATAAGAGCGAAAGCGATTGGGTCGTTAAGAAATTCAAACCTTTTCTTTAGCTCAAATCTGCTACAGATCTTCAAGCGTAATACTTTTTATTAAACGAAAGGACGTGTTTTAATAGTTTTAAATTAATCACTGTATCAATACAAATATCAGTACAAATATCATTACACATATCTATAAAAATATCCATACATATATAAGTAGAAATATCAATGCAAATATCAATGCAAATGTCAATGCAAATGTCAATACAAATATCGGTACAAATATCAATACAAATTTCAATGCAAATATCAATTATTTTCCTGCAGAACACCAATCCACCTCCTCCTCATTTGCGTATAAATTGCAGATCAGTCTAACGATAATATGATTTCTGCATATAAACTATTTCATATCATTTCAGTGACTAAAATATTATTTGTACAACTTTTTATTGCGATACATCAAATATAAATTCTTATTTTTAGAGCATTGTTTTTGTTTTGTTTTTTAAACCATAATTCATGACATTGAAAGCTGATTAAAGTATAAAATAACTGTAGAACAAACTGTCAGTTTACTGCACGCCTGACTGAACAGACATTAATCAAAGTGACATAGTCAGCCGTGTTTTGTGCTGAAACGGTCATAGATATATTTAAAAACCAAAAAAACCAAACATGTTCGTGGACGCGGTAAATGCACTACTGATAAACACGAGTGTTCATATGAAGCATTTCCAACACACGTTTTTGTCCCTGGAAGTATTCTTAACTGAAATGGACAAATATCCATCTTTACTGGTAGGCTTCCAAACCCCCCCCCCCCTTTTTTTTTTCTTTCCAAATCCCCCCCCCTTTTTAAAAAAA